GGACAGTGGGGACATGTCACAACCAATATTTGGGGAAGACAAAATAGTTCCTACCAATTTTTATTTTTAACTTTTATTTTAATAAACATTTTAATATTCAGACAGAGTGATGTCATTAGTGGAGCCAGGAGCCTAAACTTGGGGGAAGCGGCAGGACAGTGCCAGCATACGAAGATGGCGGCTTGAGCAGGCATGAGTGAAGACGCTGCACCAAACTTTAAAAAAACTTTTCAAAAGGAACTTACTTGGCTTCATTTTCAGTTAAAATGAGTCGTTGCGGAAAAAGAGCGGCTATCACCACAAGTACACCTCCCAAACAGAGCCCTACTTGTGCACTGTTAACAGTCAGACTCTACTGACAATATTCCATGGAAAAATGTTTAGACATTACCTCACAAATATCTATCACCAACAAGCAAAGGAAAATCTGCTACAAACTTCTACATTGTTGTTATCCGCTAAAGAATCATCTTAGAAGGGCAATAGACACAAACTGTACATTTCGCGAACTGAAAAATGAAACCACCTCTCACTTATTTTGGACCTCCCCAGACGCCGTATGTTTTTGGAAAGTTTTTGGAAAATTCATAAAACATATACGCAACTTCTTATCCCATTTTACCCTTTCTTATAAAGATGTGCCATTTGGTTTTTGCCGTGTGCATCATACGAAAAGTAAACAATATTATATAATTAATATGTTAATCAAGTAACCTATCAGTTGGTTTCATGTGAATGAAGTTGCCTTTCCACAGATCTGACCTGGTCTGGTTTGGTCTCCATGAAGATAGAAAGGTTTACTGCCATACTGTAAAACATTCCAGACAAAGCAATAACATCTCCAAGGAGAAAAGCATAAAGCATCTTTACAGAAACAAAAAAAAATAAACATAGCTGGTGTACACTCTTCCCCCTTTGCCTGTGATCCAGAATATATACTTCTCCATTATTTTACAAAGATGTGAATCTGGTCACTAGTGCATCTCCCCGAGTTCAGATGGGCATGATTGATGTGTGTATTGATTAGATTGTCAGGGACACATGGTCTGTCTGAATCAAAACAAATATGGCTGCGTACAAGGAAAAAAGTAAAAACAAACCACAACAGGTTGAAAAACACTGTGGATTTCTGCAGAACCAATGAGCAAAGCACTAAACTTTTAATCTGAAGTGAGAGTTTCTGTTTTTATGCAAAATGAGGGTGACCAATGAACTCTGCATGTACAAAATCACACGCATTACTGACATAAACAAATCTGATTTCCCCGTCATGTTTGAAGTCTGGATTGAGGTGAGAGCAGGGCGATGACCAGACTGATATAAAAAATACACAGAGATATCGTTCTGGACTAGCCACGCAACTTCCACTATTTCACAAAAACATGGTACAGGCCAACAACATCAAGCTAAATAAAGTGATGCAATCTACAAGTAAAATGAAATCAATGCATTTATTCAGAATCCAGACATGTTTTTAGATGTTACCTGTGTCTTAGGTGAAGGTTTTAGGTTAAACAAAAAATGATCCCAGTTTGTATATTTATCATGTTATCTTCCTGTTAAGTATAAACATCACAGGAAGCAGCCTCTGAACTATAGTTTATCCAGTCTTTAAGTTCAGGACATAGAGAAAAAAAAACAAAAAACTTTGAATCCATGCACCTCAAAAGAAAAGGAGAATGATCATACATTACCAGTCAAAACTTTGGACTCTCTCTCTCTTGAGTGTTTTTTTTAATATATATCTTTACTACTTTCTAGATTTGACATACATACAGAAGACATTTAATATATGAAGTAAGATAAATGGAATTATCTTATTATGTAAATTATGTTATGTAAAAAAAAAAAAAAAATGAATAATCAATTTCTCAAATTAGTCACCCTTTGCTTTGTCAAAAAAATATATATCTATACTAAATAATTCCATATATGTTGCTTCATATTTGGGATGGGACAATAAACAATAAAATATTTTATTGTGATTAAAAGGGTAGACGATAATCGTAACAACATTTTAAATAATTGTGATAATTGCCAACAAAGATAATCACCATAAATCCCCAGAATGCACAGAAAAACAATACTTCTTCATGTTTTCTTCTAGATAATTATTTTTTTCACTTGCACTTACGAAGTACAACACTATGGAACCTATTCATAATATTCAAATGATCATTATTCATATTAATAACATTTTTAAACTGTCAACAACTTCCATAGTTATTGTGATATAATTGTTAATTGTAGTTATCTTGGCCATGTTAATCGTGACCTTTATATATTTGATGTCTTCTATATGCATCTAAAATGTAGGAAGTAGCAAGGGGGGGAACGAGACGGTGAGTTCAAACTTTTGCCTGGCTGAGTGTATATTTACTACATTGTGTTTATGTAATATTGCTCTGATGATCTGTCTGAGTTCTGTTGACCTTTTTTGATGTGCTGTTTTTGCAGGGTTACTATCGCAGTAATGAGTTCATCATTACCCAGCATCCCCTCCCACACACCACTAAAGACTTCTGGAGAATGATCTGGGACCATAATGCACAAATTATTGTTATGCTGCCTGCAGATAATAGCCTGGTAAGCCCATCGCAGACACACCCAGACTTCACTAAACACAGGCTGTCTATAGCATTATCAGCGGCACACTCCTCACTCCATTATTATGCCCTGTACACAAACAGAGGTTATGTCACTCTATATCATAATATTAGATTTGTTTAGTTTTAACAGGGAAATGCCAAATGCAATGAATGTCTTTCTTTGTTAAGATTTCAGTGTATTGATAATAATAATCTAATGCCATGTCCATAGAGATGCATTAGTCAAAACAATATTACTACATTGTTACATTAAATACAGATTAAGACAAACACTGTAAAACTCCCTTGGTTTAACAGTAGGCTAGATCGTTGTGACCCTCAGGTGGGTGATATGCGCCTGATCTATTGTTGTGCTCTCCTCCTGTACCCAGACTGGGACGTGGTACAAAAACGCAGACAGGCCCACCAATGTTATTAGAAATGTTCAAATGTTGAGACATGTTTCGTATCATTTTTAATCATTTTGTAATTATTTTATTGACTATTTTGTTCCAATATTGCTGGTTCAATTGAATCTTGAAAAGAAAAAGAAATGGGCTACCTTTAATGTCCAAACGAGTGACTTATGGATCCTTTTATTGCTGGTTCAATGACGTTTTTCATTGTTTAAAACTTGAGTAATACTAATTGTTCAGAGAGACACAATCACTCAGTCAGCAATAAAATATCCTCATTAATGTTCAATAATGGTCAACTCCACCTTTATTTAGTGATTTACAAATAATGTGTATTGACTTAGGTCGTGAAGGACTTTGAAAATATGGGTCCCAAGAAAAAAGTTTGGGGAACACTGGGCTAGATTACACAGTCCCAGGCTCTAGAGGGGCAACCTTACCCAAGCGCATACTTTTTAAAACTCATTCAAGATTTGGCAGCCATGTTGCAGTAGTAATATTATTATTTGTACAATTTATTATTATAAATTTCCTTTTTTAATTAAAAAAAGTAATTAACTACCCCTCATGACAATATAGTCAAAAAGGACTACAGAAGGATTACTGAGCTTGTGTATGGAATAGAGGTGACAGTTGTTGTTTTTAATTTTCCAGGCTGAGGATGAGTTTGTGTACTGGCCCAGTCGAGAAGAGTCCATCAACTGTGAGGCGTTTACTGTCACTCTGATCAGTGAGGAACAACTCTGTCTGTCCAATGAGGAGCAACTCAGCATCCACCATTTTATTCTGGAAGCCACACAAGTATGACATTTAATAATAACTTCAATTACTATTACTACTACTTGTAGTTTAAGACCACAATTTAATCAAATGTAACAAATGATAATTGGTTCACTAGTTAATAATACAGTAGTATTATTTTTTGTATTTATTACACATCATCTAATTCCATATTCTTAGAACGTTCTCCAGCTGATTTGCCATTAAGTAACATTTCTCTTTAATAAACTGTGGTAACACACACACTATAATGACTGCATTTTAATTAGCCTTTATCACACATGAAAGACTTAATTCAAATAGTTTATTATGATGACGAATGATGTGGGCCCAGTAACTACTTTGATGAATACCATAATTACTGCAAATGCTAATTCAGCTACAGCAACAAGATATGAATTAGTTACCCAGTATGAATCATTTTTTGACGTAATTTGTTCATTTGTTATTATAAAATGTTACCAACAATAATATCTACATGAACAGAACAAGAATAAACTTCAACTTAGACTTTATTGATCCACAAGGGAAATAACTTGGACACTTACTTAAATACTACTAGAATATGGTTATATGGTATGGTATTTCAAAATGCATGTACAGAGATGATGTAACGCATCACCAGAGCATGAAATGTAACTTTGATGTGATCTGTTTGCTCCACCAGGATGACTATGTTTTAGAAGTGCGACATTTTCAGTGCCCCAGGTGGCCCAACCCTGACGCCCCGCTCAGCTGCACCTTTGAACTGATCAACGTGATCAAAGAGGAGTCAGCCAACAGAGAGGGGCCCACCATCGTGCACGACGAGTATGTGTCTTCACAACTCAGCATCACAGTCAAAGCCACTTATTTCCTGGAGGATTTAGTCTTGAAGGTCCCATAGTACATGAAATTGACTCTTGGAGATTTACAATTCCACATCTGAAATCAGCCAAATGATTCTAGTGACAGTGTATGGACTCAGTGGAGCACTTCATGTATCACCACATGACCGATTTTGTTTTGTTTTATTTCTTTCACACATGTTTAACACACACATTCTGCTTTTTTTTTTCACAAATGTTTTATTAAGATTTTATATATTGAAACATAAACAACATTGTTATTATACAAAAAATAAATAAATACATACATTGAGACCCTCCCCCCACCCTAAAACACACAGTTCACTCAATTTGAATTATGATTTGTACATGTCAAAATTCTTTACAATGTGCCAAAAATGGCAACCAAATAGCTTTAAAGTTTTCCTTTAGATGTGTAGCTCAACTTCTCCAGTGCTAAACTGCTGGACATTAGTTTAATCCACTGGTTTACTCTGGGCCTCTCCATTTGCTTCCAGTTGAGAGCAATAACATGTTTGGCCTGCAATAAACCAAAAATAACAAGCTTCTTTCTATTTAAATTAACACTAAAGCTGTTGGGGAAGATGTGTAGTATGCAGAGTTTACAATCCAATGGCATCTCAACTTCAATTAAATCTGAAATTACAGTAGTGACCTCTTTCCAAAACAGTTGGAGTTCTTCACAATGCCACATACAATGAAAAAGGCTCCCTGTCACACTTTATGCAATCATCAGGAATATTTGGATTAAAATGGTGAAGTTTTATGGGTGTAATATAAGTCCAAAACAACCATTTGTACTGCAGCAACATGAATCTGGTGTTTGTTTTTGTGCACAAATCCTGCATATTTAGGCTCAAACAGAAAGCACTCCACCACCTTGTGACGCCACATGATAGTACAAGAAGTGTTCCACTGTGTTTTGGATTTCAGACCTGGAATTGCCAAATTCTCCTGAACTTAAGGTAAAAGGTAACTTGAAAACTACAGCTTCATGACATCTCAAGGTGGAACAAGGTTGAGCTTTGGAGATGTAAACAAACTAATAATAAAGGGTTACTCAAACATGTGTAAACAAAACCAACTCTGGGTATGTTTTTGAGGAGGTAACAACATTATGACACGGCGTAAAGCTCATAAGAATCCATTTTGCGCAATGTAGGACCTTTAACAGGAAACTGGTGTAAGCTCTTGTATTAGCCTATGTAGCCGTGAAATGCACACTTAACTGTTACTTCACCAGCACATCAGTATATATATTATCCTTCGGTTCAACACGTGTCAGACCTCTCCACCCCCCCCCCAGAAACTGTCCAATTACACCTAATCAAAGCGTCTTTAGTATTGACCGACATTAGCGCTGGAGAATGACACTCTAATCCACAAGCCCCCTCATGTTTATTCATCGGAATAATGGAGATTGCTTGTCGCATCCTCTAGAAGCAAAGTGACTAATTGATCTCTTCATCTGGTTGCTATGGCGCAGGCAGCCACAGCACCTCAGAGAGTGTCAGTTAGAGCCCTGGCCTAATTGCGTGCGTGCTCATTACTCAACCAGGCATGGGTTGTTAGCGGTGGATTCAGCCCTGCTCCTGACAGAATGCTAATGAAAACAGGAGTGGTTACAATGTGAAGGTGACCCCGGAGCTAGCATGTCTGTGGCTGTCATCCATACATTTTGACTCACTGTTGATAAGAGCAGTGAAAAAAATGGAAACTGATGAATTTGGAAGCTGTTTTAGTAAAAGATTTTTCAAAATAGTTCATGAGTTTTTAAATAAGTCCAGCAACAGTGTGTCAATTTATAATAAAGCTTCATCTTGGATACATTAGAACTCTATACTTTGTGTCACACTGAGAACTCCTAACTCGGGTACTAGATAAATAAGTGTTACTTTAGTAGTATAGTGTCAGTTATTAATCGCATTCTTCATTTTACTGATATTGAGCCTCAAAATCCTCCAAAACATGCTTAAAGATCACATTTTAAAACAAATACTACATCCAATTTTACAGTCTATATAAAATCTGAAATCATTACAGGTACCGCCTAGTTCCCGTACTGCTGCTTGGGAAAACATTGCACTAGACAACCAAGGTGTAACTGACTGAATGTAACTGAGATAAAGCTCTGTTTTCACACTTGTTTTTTCCATTGTTGTGTGTGCAGGCTGGGCGCGCTGTCTGCAGGGCTGCTCTGTGCTCTCACCACTCTGTCTCAGCAGCTGGAGTGTGAAGGCCTCGTAGATGTTTATCAAGTGGCCAAGATGATCAACCTCATGAGGCCTGGAGTCTTCACTAATGTTGTGAGTTTACAACTTCTACAATGCAACACTGGCCTCTGTAGGGTTACAGCTTTCAGGGTATTTTTTTTATTGTGCAGATCTATTGGTTTGACCGTCTACAACGTATTAAGATACTACTACATTATACTGAAACACAAATATAAGTAATTTCTGTTTTCTTTTATAGTAACTCTTATTTTAACACATTAAATGTTGGTTGTGTTGCAGGAGCAGTACGAGTTCCTGTACAGAGCTGTGCTCAGCCTGGTCTCCAGTCAGGACGGTGCGGGGCCCACAGACATTCGGGGAACACAGTCTGTCACAGACAAGGCCCAGAGTGTGTAGGCTCTGCTCCGACACAGGGTCCCACACAGGAGGGAACTCCCCCTCTACTATTGTGGACAAGACTTTTTGAGGCCTTTTTGCCAGACTCTTGGTTAAAATAACCTGATTACTTTTTTACACTGAAAAGTTTTTGATATTTATTTTTTTCGCCATTTTATGTCAAAAAGTTCTCCTACTGAAGAGTCAGCTCCTGCGCTTTTCAGTTCAATGACAGTAGGCAACGAGAAACACTTTTGTCTGTTCTTGTTTGCACTAAAACGTCAGTGTTACTGCCTCTACTACAGTCTCTTGGATCTCATTCACTCCAGCTGGTTTAACATTCCATGGCCTTGGACTTTAAGTAACTGTTTCTGGAAACCCTTGCTCATCCTGCCACCTGCTGGTGGAAAACGGTGTTGCCTGACATCTCCAGAGTCACACAGCTCTCACACACTCCCTGGCCATTTTATTAGAGACACATGTTTATTGTCACTCATATCTAATCATCCTACAGAACAGGACCTCAATGCCTTTATACATACATAAGAACACCAAACTAAACCCTCACCACAGACTCACCTTTCCAGCCTATAGCAGCACAGGGGAGCTTCCCTTTGTAGGATAATTAACCTGGAACATGTTAAACCCTGTGCTGGCCTGACCTACCATTCTGAATGCAAGCATGTGATTGGCTGACCTGCCTTGATGCACTGAATCATTCATTAGCCATACCAACTCTTCACTATAAAATCTACATAAGACTGGATATGCATCATATTGCTCCTGCCTCCTGTAAGTCCATAATAAAGTGCTCATATGTTGTCTCAAATCAAGTGGCCAATGAATGTATGTCATTGTTCTAAGAGAGAGATCACACTTTTACATTCTGGTACTCATCACTTAGTTCTTCTGTTAACACTTCTGCATTTAGTCTCATCCACATTGGGAAATCTTAGGTGGTGTAACAACTGCTACTGTGAAATTCTTATTTGTTTGTATAATTCATAATATGCTTTTTAATATATGGTGATACTGTATGTATACATATATAAATATATCCTTATCATAATAACTCTGTGATTTTGTACATGTTCTTTGTGGCCGCCCACCTGAGACCACAGCAGAATTCACGAGCTCAGACGTGTCCTGCGCTGCTTTGCCATCCAAACTCATTCTGGAATATTTTATTATTCAACATAAAGAAATTATGATGCAACTACTGTTTTCAGACAGACAAGCACAGATTCAGAGCTAAAACTGGTGTAGGAAACATTTGGTGAAAGGGTTAGAATCTATAGGTATGGAGATGACCTATGTAACTTTTCTGATGGTTATGTCACCTGCTTGTCTCCATGGAGATTGTATAGCTTTGCCTGGACCTTTCCATGGCATGCCATTTAACCATCTTGCTTTTTTTTTCATTTACAGGTGTTTTAATTCTAAAATAATATGTTAAATAAATGCATTTTCACCATGTGCAGGGTTGTATCTCCATAGATCTGACTTGTAACTCAGCTGAGTGGTTTTACCTGCTTGCCTCCCTAGAGATTAATATTTTAATGCCATAATGTGGAACATCCCAGGGAACACAATATGATGCTGATTAAGATAAGCATGTGGCAAACCGTTGACAGGAAAAGTTACATAGTCCAGTTGTTAAACTGCAGCCTACCAGTCTTTGGCCAGTAGTCAGACCTGGTTTAGTTCTGATTAAGTCCTGGTATAGTCACTGATTTCTACAATATAATATATACTCTATCAGTGTCTCATATCAATATGCAATTCTTATTACATTGTACACGTGACTTGGATTTTTTTTTTTTATTTAGAGAAACATTTGTTAGTTTAGAGAGGCCAAATGTGTCCAAAATTGTGTTACAGTTGTCAGCACTTGAACAAGAAACTTTTATTCAGATTTGTTCCCCTTGTTTCCATTTGTTTTCCCGGCTGGTATGTTCTGTATCTGTGCTTGTAATTTCTTTTGACCTTGAGGCCTTGTGTACATGCAAACCCACCCTTTGATTCTAGTATGTGGTAGGTTTAAGGTCCAAAGTAATACTATGACCAGACACTATCCTGTACCTCTGTGATTGATGGCGTCAGGTGGCTCGTGTTTTTGATTTGAATAAAAAACTTGATTCCCCTCAGCACAAAAATGGAGAAAATATGTTGTCAAGATTTTGGAAACCTTTTTACCAAAGACTTAAAGGTTTTGGCCTCCTCTGATCACAACAGTATATCTGTATTTGTACTAGTGTGCTTTCCACAGGTATTCACTTCAAGTCATCACTCATTATTGTTATGTATGAAGAATGTGGGGAATGATGGCAGTAATAATAAACATAAACAACATTTGAAGGGGAAATATCATTCTTGATTTATGAATACATTTACAATACAAACCAGATCAGACTAGTGGTTACATGTGATATGTGTATGCAATAACTATAGCCTAAATATAGCTCAAGCTACTTGAAAATCCAGGGTCAAGATGTCTAAAGTGGGTAACAAATTGATATATAAACTCTTTTTGAGTCATTCTTTCTACTGTCCAAACTATGAACCGAGGACCAAATTCAGCCATCAGACTAATTGGTTGTTCATTCTAACCTGTTATAAATGCACGTATTTGAATTATTCACTGTATTGACCATCACTCTGTGACCCTCAATTGGCCCGTCGCATGTCCAGCCTCTGATGAAAAAAGTTTGGACATCCTTGGAAAATCACTGTAATTGTTTATTTGATTTTGATCACATTTCTAGTGTTATCCCTGAGTCCAGAGCTGTCTGTGTGAAGACAGAAGGGTCCTCACTGTTTGAACAAAGATAAACAGAGAGGACGCACAGGGAGGGGACATAAGACAGAGCCACATGTCCACTCAGAGACTGAGAGGCACACAGCACTCTTCTCACTCTGACCATGATGAAGACTGAAGAGCTCCTTTCAGCTGTTCAGCTGCACGACAGAGAAAGAGGATGATGGAGACCAACCAGATCCAGACCAAAACTGAACTCAGGTGGTCTATCCCCCAAATAGGCACCAGTTACAGCACCAGAGACAAGTGCCACTGCAAACACTGGGATCATGTCAGGAAGTGAAAGGATGAAACAGAGATTCTATTTAGCATAAACGAGGACAAACGCAGTCAAAGTCACAATACATCTACTAAAAAACATAGAAAACAATAAGATACTCAACAACAAGAAATGTACATCTCACTTGTTAAAAGCCACTTAAAACAGGTACGTTTTTAGGAGTGATTTAAAAACAGCTACAGACTCCTGTTTTATCTCTAATGGCAAATTGTTGCTTAGTCTTTTTGTGCAGATAGAGGGCAGCAAAAATCACCCATACATTGCTATGGAAACAACCAACGCTCAAAGTTCCTGCCCAAAGTTTCACTGAAGTAAAGGAGGGCAAAAGATCCTTTCAAAATAAACCCGCACCTGTTTGGAAAAGTGCGCACTCAGCACTGTGCAGTACACACAATCTGCGGATGACTTTGTAATGTATTAAAGAAGCAAACACGTCGTTTGTTCAGCATTTGCCAGACGTTCAATGGTTAGCCTCGTTAAATGCTTCACTTCCGTGTAAAACAGCACAAGTCTACTGTACTTGCTGTAACATTGACGCATCTAAGAGTCGACGTTGCTTTTCAGGAAATGAAGACGACTTCTCAACTCTGAGACTGATGGAATTAGCCGTTAAATATGAACAAATGTAAGTCACAATGCGCATGATCTTATCATCTTTAAAGGAAATTTTGAGAGAAACGGCGCGTGACACTCAGGGAAAAGTCCATAAACCAAATAAGCCCACTTCTCGCGCGCACGGCCTGGTTCCAAATTGTAGGATATGTAAGCATTGACTACGTTTTGTTAAGGTATTTTATGTATCTGTAACGTGAAGTATACAGAGGAGACGTGCACTGCTGGAGCAGATGGAGGAGCGCAGACTGAAGCTGAGAGACCTTCGGCACCAGCACAGAGAGAGGAGTGAAGCTGCCCACCGCAGGAACCAAAAACTATTACAGGTTACTTTTATTAAAGCAATACATGTTTTAGGTGCAGAAATGATAGGTTCTTCTCAATACAGGAACTGGAGACTCTAGAGCATAATCTGAGAGAGGCGCAGCTGCCATCCTCATCAGAGCAGGAGCTGGAGGTAACAGAACAGTCCAGTCACTGTGTTTGTGTTGATCTCTGACACGTGTTTATTCCAGAGCAGATACTGGGCGTCTGTGGAGGAGTCTATCCCAGCCTGGGAGCATCTTCTGCTGGGTAAAAGTCCCCACCACCCCACTGATGCTGCACCAGCTGGAGGAGCAAAACACAAACGCAGAAGAACCAAAGACATAGGTCTGCCCCCTCTGCCTGGCCCGGCCAGCCAGACTAGCTCTTCTAAAAGAAAGTAAGAGGGGCTGCCTTGCTTAATGCATGTACTCTGGTACAATATTCAAAATCTTTTTATTACAGTAACAGAATTAAACCACTAGAGGGAGCCCATGTTACAGACAAGAAAGTACTTCCTTACGCTAGTTAAGATAAAATGTATTACACCAAGTGTGTGTGTGTTTTGAGTGGTGGTTCACCTGTGACCCGATGATGAGGGCCTGCTCCTCCAGGACCCCCTCCTCACTTAACCCATAATTGTGGTGATCAGTGCAGGCCTGACACAGAGTGGCGGCTTGACAAATGCGATCACCCACACAGAGGGGATGAGGGGGCAGTGCTTGGCAGCTGCCCGGGCTCCTCAGCTGGGACCAGTCCTGCTGGGCCTCAGGCAGAGAGCTCATAGCCGCTGGCCACTGGTGACCGCAGCAGTCTGGGCTGTTATGGACTGTGGAGGGGGGTGTGAGGGAGTGGGACAGGGCAAGTGCACAGAGGTCAAGGGCAGTATTTAAAAAGGGGGAGGGGCAGGGGGGCAGGAGGGTGTGATGTGTGACAGGACAGGCTTCAGGCTGAACAAGCAAGTGCATCTGTGGGTCCAGTACTGGGTGACCTCTGCAGAAATGACCATACATTTTACCTGTAAATTCTGCTGTAAATACTGTAAAGAATTTCTGTATATCAAATCTATTAATATATGTATTCATCTCTAAGTCATTTGTTTGTTTTACACACCACAAACATGCGTCTCTAAATTATTTCATCACACATCTGTTGGTGATGCCCCATTCAAGTGCGCTTGACATAACTCCTGGTTTCCATTCCCCTGCTCCACGGCCCTGGAGTGTGGAGCTTTGTGATTATGCAATAGCACCGAGAGGCTGAGTCCTGCTGTGATGCTCCATAGATAATGGCGGGGCCTAGAGTCCTGTAAATGGTTAAGTGTAGCCTGCAGTTGATTGGATAATGGATAATTGCAGACTGTGTTTCATTGCTATGCTTCGCTGTCACAGGGGCAGAGGGGCAGCCTGCTCGCTCTCACCACAGTCTGTTTGGAGTCTAATGAATCTCAAACATGGATGTCGTATGTTGTCTTTTCCACAGAAGCAGAGGAGGGGGTGTTGTGTGATTGTAGCTCACAACTACTGTAATACCACTACTACAGTTAATATATCAGCTACAAGATTAGAGAAAATGTTGTTTGGAAGGTATGCTAAATTATCATATCAAGAAAAACAAAGAATATATAAAAGTATACAGTGATGTTTAGTATTTTAACCTCAAATGAGACATTTAGAAGCACATTTTAACACATCTGAATATTAAATATATTATGTCATTATCATTATTGACCATTCCTAAAACGTATTTAGATTTACGTTTTGTCAATACCACCCTGCTATTTCATTCTCACTACTTCATTATGTTATGAAACTCTAAACCTCTCATACACTCCAATAAAATCACTTAGAATTTTTTTTTTTTTTCTCCCCATTCACAGAAAAGTCAATCAAATTATCTCACTATATACATGCATGCAGACTTCCTATAGGACGTAACATGAAAATCCTTTGCTTCACAGGCTTTAATACACTCCCTCCTCCTCTGTGCTTTCAGAATGCTCACAGCGGTTGGCAGGGCTGGCTGAATTCCACTTTAGAGCCTATATCGATCGAGCTTGGGCGGATGTCTTTCTACCGTAGCCTGCTAAAGTCTGGTTGTGTGGTGCTATTCACATTGACTGTTGCAATAAGTAGGCTAAGAGTGTGTGTGTACATAGGCCTTTTGTTCTGATTGATTTCTGTTCAGTTTTAGATGCACATGTTGTCTGCAGCTCTTCTTTGCTAGGCTAATGAAGTCCCTGATTGGTCTTTAATCAGTGGACTTTTGCGCACGGCAGTCTCAGTCACAGTCGGAGTTAGCTTGTGTGTACCAAAAGGCAAAATAAACCCTTTCTTTGTGTCTGAAGTGTAAATACCACAGACCCAATGCATCAAACATGGGGTTTGCAGAAAGAATATCATGCGGTATTGTTGTTACATACATACATACATATATACATACTAACATACATACAAATAAACATACATACATACATACATATATTCATGACTTTCTGAAATGAGTGACAAAAAATACTGCACTTTGTCATGATATTCTAATTTTTTGAGATGTACCTATACTGGGGAGTACTTGCATCGGAGACCGCTGAGAATACCAGGTGCCACAATGGAGCAGTAGGGGCTCTAGTGCACACTGAAGTTGTGTCTTTCAGCAAAACACTTCAGTTCACCCACCTTGTCTAGTAGGTATATAACGATATACAAATCTCAAGGTACAATAATATCACAATATGCATTTCACAGTGATGCAGATTGGCAGTCTCACTTCTGTCAGTCTACCCCAGGGCAGCTGTGACTACAATAGCATCTTACCATCACCAAGTAGGTATCTGTACTTTATTTTTATATTTTAAGGTGAATACTTTCTTGTGCTTTACTACATTTGAGAGCAGGTCAGGATCTGTACTTTCTGCTCCACTATGTTTTAAATTGGACTGAAAGTATTTTTTTATTATACTTTAAGATCTGTTGAAAAGGAAGAGGGGTTATTTTTAGCACATTAATAGTTTGAGCAAACAAAAATATACAAATAAAAACAGCTTGGGAAAAAATATTAATTAATTTGTTTCTGTTGAAAAAGATTTGCACAAATCTTTATCAAAATCAATACATTTGCAGTTTATTAGATCTCAATCTGCACAAAATATTTAATATAATATTTTTTATTACTAAAGTACATAAACTGGTACTATAATACTATAGTACTTTCTTCATGTGATACTTTTGCTTTTACCTGAGTTTTGTTGTTGCTTGTTTGTTTTGTTTTTTTGCTCCAGTCTCTATACAAAAAAATCAAGCACTTCTTCCACCACTGGTATAAATATATAAAATCCAAAGGTTTATTATTATTTGTAGTAGTATTTTACACTAAGCAACAACTGCTCTTTGATTTAGTTATCAGGTCAGACGTTCTGTTAATGTTTATTTTCTTGGTGATTTGTATATTGTGTCCTGCAGATGAAAGGAGGAATAGCTAAATTAGACTTAGACACAGACACAGACTTGATACACAAGAGCAATTATTTAGACATAGTAGCTCACAATATAATGTAGTAACACATGTGCAAGAAGTATTAATGAGTAAAGTTAAGGGCTTCTGAGATATGGGGGGAAGGGCCAGAGGAGCCTCCCACCAGAGTCGTGTGAGGTCAAAGAGATTTGTAGTGACCGGACATCCCAGATCTACTCCCCCTGTGCATTATGGGACTCAGGGACAGAGCATGTGTGCGCGCTCAGTGCACAGAAGACAGAGCCAGATCAGAGCTGGACAAAGAGACACACAATAATGAGCTTGTAATTAGCTTTGCAGGATCTACGTTTTAATAGAATATCTCCTTTTTGCATTACATAACCACCACTCATTTTAGTCTATTTCATTAAAGCGTTTCCCATTGTCCGAAATAACAATATGTTTAGTTTTATATCTACAAACTTGAGGTTTGTGTGTCTGTGTTGGAGCTCCTTAGTCATAACTGAAAACTGTACTGTAACTGATTGTTGTGCGTAGTTATTTGTAAAATATTCTGAATTTTAAACTATAAGACCATTTAGAAGAGTTTTTCTGAAGTTTAAAAAACTGTGGAAATATTAACTTGGCCTTATGAAATGATTCCGTAGTTTGGTATTGTCATTTAGCACAGAGCAGCCTTTTTGTGACATCAGTTTAAAACGACAGGTTATAAACCTGCAACAGTGAGGTGTGTGAGTGTGGATGCTCCTGAGTACCTGGTTCTCACACACAGCACACATGCTGCTGCTCAGAGCTCACATCATGTGATCAGTGTTGTTCAACATAACGTCTTAAATAGTTCTCTTGTATTGAGCCCAGTCTTTGGGTGGATGTGAGAGGAGCAGCTCAGAGCAGAGCTCATTAACCCCTCACTCCTCACAATAGAGCGCAGCTTATTGTGGCCGGGCTGAGAGGACTCTAACGAGGCCGGAGGGGGCCCAGGCGGGCAGCTTCTGAGCAGCTTTTGAGCTGCTCCTGCTCAATATTTGTCTCAACTACTGCAAACCTATAACAAACATGTGAACAAGGCATGGAACAAGAGGACAGCCTTTTGTGAGCGATGCTCTGAGTGACATCTGTCTGCTCTGTGCATAAAACATTAACATGTTTTAGTGTGGAAACATCTATAAGTTATATTGAATAATTCAACTTTGCAATCGGCATTTTGTGGCAGGCTGACATGATTTGAAATAACATTGAAGTATATAATATTACAAAAACACTGCAAATGTATTTACAGATATATTTTTAAAATGATATTCCATGTTAACTAATACCACAGTCACATCTGTTTTCTATAGAAAATGTAAAGCAGTTCTTTATTAGTCTTCCAGCTCTGATGGTGCAGGCAGCAGCTGAAGTGGACAATGGTGCTGCTCAGATGTTGTGGGAAAGTGGCTCCGTGGCCCTCACACCCCTCCGGATAAAAAGCTGCTAACTGGGGATGCTTTAATTGGAGTTTCATGTGGGCTAAACTGAGGGGAAACTGATGTAAGTTAACATTTGGTAGACTTAATTGGTCCTTTTCACGGAGCGCTCCTCATCAGGCACTTGTGCGCGCCGCTAAAGCTCCCCGCTAATCTCCATTTACCACCAATTCAGCGTGCACAAAAGTCCTGCTCTTTCTTCTCTTCCTGTCCCGGCCAGACTTTGTGCTGGCGCAGATTCACTGAGGTGGGGGTTGTTCAGGGATGGCCTCTTGTTGTTGACAGATGATTACTGTGGGGGGCCATGTACGAGCCCCCTCCTCTCCTCACGTGCACACGCCTCATCAAAGCTACGTGCACGCTGCTGCTCAGATGTGTAGGGCTGCAGGGAAAAGGCCAGTCTGGGTTCACATCACTGCAGTGGACACAAACGCTTTGTCACATTATTATATTACCCACTTCCACTGATTAGAAGACTAATATTTGTTTGTTATTATCTCAAAGTGTACACTGAAGTAGTGTTGCCACAATACCATTTTTTTTAACTCAGTGTAGACACAAAGGAACAGACTTGATGCTCCATAACATTTTTGATGCCACTTTAACAAAATACAACCTGTTTTTGTTAATAGAATGTATTTTTCACAAACTAATGTGTACCATGTGTTTTTAATACTACTAGTAATACTACAAGACTATTCCGCAACTATTCAGGAAAGGTAAAATTTTGTGTTATTTATGGGATTCTTTTCATTATTGACATTTCTTCAAAAGAGTATCTAGTAAACTTTTGAACGTTTGACACATTTGTGATTTGTTTCAATTCAAGAATACAACACTAATCATGTTACTATATCAAAGTCCTTCTCTTCCCTAGTTAGTTGTGAATGCTATTATTTTGAACAGGATCATGTTTTCCTTTGTTTCATGACATGTGAACAGTCTAATATTAATTGTAATCAACATTATGTTATTTTGGATGTAAAGTTTAAGCGGTGATATAGTGCAGTGTGGTCATGCTAAACAGCAGTGATGAAGATGCAGTAGAAAGTACAATCTGGTACATAAATACATGTACATAAATACACATATTGTTGAACATTTGGGAACATTTATAATACATTTATTTATTATTATAGAATCACCACCCCACATCATCTGCATGCCTGAAGCTTTGTTGCACACATACTACTGCATTTTGTGTCTCTTGACTCTTTTAGCCTCTGTATCAAATAATGCTCACTTGTCACGAGGTGGTGCTGTTTCCCTGCATGCCCGTGTAGTCAATAAGCTTTTGGTACAACTTCTATTTTAAAACATTTGATATAAATATTCCTACTTCTGTGGTCATTTAATAAAGTCTTAGCAGATGTAACATTCATATTATGTTGGCTATTAGATTGCAGACATTTTGTTGTTTTATCAACAGAAAATGAGGAACTGCCTACTTTTACTTTTAAACAGACAAAGGTGGTGAAAATCTAGACTATGCAGGCTTAATAAAAAATCAATACAGCGTGATATTCTGCAAAACCCATGGCTATTCCTGACTATAGTAAACGCCTCGCCAGAACGTGCTGCGATATTTTCTTTTGCTTTTCGTTTGGCTTAATTAAAATATTTAAAACTCACGCAACTGACGATCACTTTATCTGTGTGCCTTTATCCGTTTTGCCTTTCTCATTCCCCCATGTGCCCAGACCCGTGATGCTCCGTTAGTTCACCGCGAGAGCGCGTGTGGCAGGCAAAACTGCGCGTGCATGTGCCGGGCTACCGCAGACCGGCTGCTGAGCGCGCGCTTAATTGGCTGTTAATAGAAAGCGCGCCATTGGGGAGCACGGAGCGCGCTCTTGGTGAATGTGTGCAGGGAGACTGAGGGATAATATTGTTCCAGGGGCCGTGCGCGGAATACACCGGGCCCCATTAGGACGGGCCCTGAGGACGAGCGGCCCGAGTGCTCGATTAGTGCGCGCTGCCAGCCGCCTCACGAGGCCGGTTAGCTCTTTAATGCAATTCTGTGTGAAGTGTCCGCTCTTCATCATTTGCACCATTACCACACTCGAGAGTAAATGTTGGATTATTAAGATCGTGTCTGTCAATAAATATGGAGCCGGGGTCTGCGCCCGTAATAACCGGAACACGAGCGAATAATCACCTCGACAGCCGAACAGTTGCCTATATTTGTGTAGCTCCATCACGCTACTTTGTCTTTTCCAGAGCAAGACGTTTGGTAAAGGAAAAGCACCAATTAAACACAGTTGTAGTTCATACATTACGCACATACAGGCCGATCTTAATACCTGAACTATACCCAGTTACGTGCGTCTTTTTTCTTGGTCTCGGTAAAGTCTAATCACTCTGAGGGTCAAAGCGTCCAAATGACTGGAGATGATTTTCAATATGTGATTACCAAGTCAATATTTACTTTTTACGCATGCCATATAATCTGATTTAGGTTTGGATTTTTGAGCGTGGCTTGCGTGAATTAACATGTTTTGTTCTGTAATTAAAAAGTCTAATATTTACTATAAATAATTGGAACATCAGTATTTCTTTTACAGACACCAACAAGTTCATTCATCAGTTCACGCCTATCAAACACCAGACTTTTCCCTATACCCAAAAACATTATTTATTATAAACTCTAGGACGATTTTATCCCGCAGATTAGACCTAAAACTGATGACCGATCTCAAAAATCTCGTTTTATTCACAAAAAAGACAACCATCTAATTTTTTACTATACTTTTTTATTACATTTTCAAAAACTGCAAACAGTGTCTCCCACATTCATGTTTAATATAATTTATTCATTCACATTATGTTTGTGAAATATACATTGTGGCGATGTGCTTCTAAGAGCTTTTAAATAACATTTCATTTCTTTTATTTGTACAAGTGGTCTACTCAGTCTATGTCTACACCAACGCTTTTCACTTTTAAAGGCAAAATCTGTCTCCAGCTGTTGCATTGTGGGAAAAATGCATCGTACAGTTTATCAGAATGTACTGCATTTGTCCAAAATTACTCCTGATCCTTTTTGCGTCTGCCACCACAGCGAAATAAATGAAAAGACATTGCGTAGAAGTATAGCTTAAGAGCTCCAGTCCTTTTTGCATAGAGGTGGGGTAGATTTGGCATATATAGTCCTTTATTGCCTTCCCTCCCTCCCCCGTGCACAGCTGTGGAAATGCCCGTTCAACTGGGCAGGTCCCGGGCACCCTCCGTGTTCACCGAGTAGCTGTTGTCATGGAGTTTGCGTATGTGTTTCTTGAGGTCAAAGTTGCGGCAGAAGCCCTTTCCGCAGGTGGAGCAGGTGAAGGGCTTCTTGTCATTGTGCGTGTGCATGTGGAAGGTCAGGTTGTAGATCTGGTGGAAGGCCTTGTTACAGATGGAGCACTTGTACTGCTTCTCCCCGCTGTGCGTCAGCTTGTGGTTCTTGTAGTTCCCTGTGGGAGAGGGGCAGTCCAGAGTCAGCACAGAGAAGAGCCAAAAACAACAGAGCAATAGAAGAAATAAAAGTAATAATAAAAAGTAATAAAAGACACCACACCATCATCCAGTTGTGTACTGTATTGTGTATTTTATTTACCTGTTTTATGTTTTTAACTTGTCCTGTACAGTGTCCTTGGGTGTTTTGAAAGGTGCTCATAAGTCAAATTATTATTATTATTATTAAAGAAGCCTCATGAAAGAAGCATTAGTTTTGTTTGTTTGTTTGTTTGTTTTGTTTTGTTTTGTTTTATGTTTTGTTTTGCATAGTGCAGTTTTTCAGACATTCATTATAAACATGAGTGGTCCGGCTCATGAGGATCTATAAAATAAATAATTGTTACATTATGTGCCTCCTGTATTTTTTTATATGAATCATTTTTTTTTTTTATATCAATCTTTTGACATTTTTGGCGAGGCACTAATAGTTTGAATATATTAGCCAACACTGGAATTTTATTTAGACACATTTTCCCAAATTTTGCTCATCTAATGCATCCATATTTATTTCATTATTTATTTACAATACAAAATATATTTATGTTTATACATCTGTGCTGTCAAAAAGGCTCTTTCCACCTTCTCATAATTTGTTTCTATTAAATAGCAATATCCTTGGCTTGACGTCTCTTTTATTATTATTATTATTATTATTATTATTATTATTATTATTATTATTATTATTATATTCGCCTATTGTTATTATTTAGTTTTAAATCTATGAGGATGACAACATTTTTGGTAAATACTGCTGTATTGCTCTGGCTCATTGTTAATCTGAGCTTTGGTCACAAGAGTCAAGAAGTTGTCAAACTTTTTCAAAATCAAGCTCCACAAAAGCCCGACTCCCGTCGTAGCGGGGTCTGGCAGCTGACCCAGAGCAAATGCACCCGTCCTGGAGCGGGATTAGTCCATGGACATGACATGTCCTATTTCCAATGAGCGTGTCATCACCATTGCCCGCAATTACCTCTCTATTTACTGGGCTTTTATAGAGAAGAGCGCCAGCATATGGTCCCCAGCCCCGGCATTCCATCACATCCGCTGCCCAGAGAGAGTCTTCACAGACCGGCCAGTGCTTTGTCCCGCGGACGCCTGTTCCAATTCAACAAGCTCAGCGCGAACAGAAGAACGGGTTTGCTTTAACTGCGTAATCGGAATTTGAGATTTTTATTTTATTTTTTTGACCTTAATGCATTTGCATTTATCGCTTTAACAACCCTAACCCTGACCCGCTTTTTTCCCCTTTAATTTATGCAGTTTTATTTCAGTAATTCTTAAGTATAAACATATTAAATGGTGGTTAAAATGAATGACTGAATGAAATGAGTTCACTGAATAGTAGGCTATTATAGGCCCATTTTAACTGTATGATGCCTTAAAAAAGTGACTGATTAACAGCGAGCTGCTTTTAAAAAGTGGAGCCTACCTTTTTGGTGGAAGCCTTTGCCGCAGAACTCGCAGACGAAGGGCTTGTATCCAGCGTGGATGCGCACGTGCGTGTTGAGCGTGGAGCTCCTGTTGAACGCCTTCCCGCACTGGTTACACTTGTGAGGCTTCTCCTGTGGGCACACGGGCATTACACTTATTATAGACACAAGAGACATTATTAGAGCGATCCGGAGCGGAGCAGACTGGAGCCGCTCTCACCTGTGTGTGGATGATCTTGTGCCTGCACAGAGTGCTGGCCTGACGGAAGCCCTTCCCGCACACTTTACAGACGAAAGGCCGCGCGCCCGTGTGCACGGGCATGTGTCTGGTCAGGTTGTAGTGCGCGTTGAAGACCTGCGTAAGGATACAGGTTATTTACACAGCACACTCATCCATATGAGGGAAACAATGTTGTCAATATCTATCCTTTCTATCAGTGTTGGATTTATAAATGAATAAAATACTGACAGTGAAGCCGTGACCAGCACGTGCCACATTAGCTGGGCTTAAATCAGACAGAACACTCGCCCGTGCGTAAAACACAGTTAACTTAGCCTCTCTGTTGAATTAAAGTTATTTAGATCTTGTTATGTCTCGTACCTTGCCACACACTTCACAAGTGAAATTCTTGGGCTTCCCATCGGCGCTGGTGTTGTTTACTTTGCTGTGCGTCTTGTTGGTGGTCTTGTCCGCGCTCAGACTGTGGTCCTTGACTATCTGGTCCAACTGTCCGGGGAGATGCTCCTTATGCGGGTATTGTGGTGTTGGCAATTTGTCCGTAGAAAGTTTGGCGCTGTCACGCAGCAGTAACCTTTGGTGCGCAGCCAAAGAGGCCTGTGACCAGGGCCCGGCTAAAAGCTCGTGCTGCGGGTACGCAGACTCCAGGTAATTAAGGTAGTAGAGAGAGCCAGGCACGGCCACGGCCTGGTGCAGCACCTGCGGTTTGACCACGCGGCTGGATGAAAGCAGCGGCTGTTTCAGACTGGAGTCCGGTTTGGCACACGCGCTGCAGTTGGTCTTGCCACAGAGCGCGCCCCTGACGCTGGCCCGCCAGAGCTCGGAGTAGTTCATGAGGCGACAGGAATGAAGCTCGTAGCCCAGTGGTGGCAGTGGGATCATGCACGGGATGGGAGCGCAGAGTCCGAGCAGCGGGCGGCCATCCTCCGCAGGTCGAGGCTCCGCGCTCTTGGACATAATCCGGTCTATAGAGAAGGCCAGGCTCTTAGGGGCCCCAGCACCTGCAGTCCGGCCACATGATGTGACGGAGTCCAATGACCCCGAGGAGGCCATGTCCGTTTCCAGAGCTGGAAAAGTGCAGGACCTGAAGAAATCCGCTCCGCTGTCAGACCTGCACCTGGTCTGAACTCACTGAGCAACAGCAGGCCTGCACATCACAGCATCAGCATGCGCGCGCCTCGGTGTCCCGTGGCTGTGTCCTCTGAGCGCGTTGACAGGGAGCCTTGGGCCCGGTGGAGGCTGTGGAGATGGTGGGATCAGGTGTGTAACCAGTCTGAAGCAGAGACACTCTGACAGAGGGACTGACAACAGTGAGTGAGTGTAAGGCAATGCCGAAAGTCTTGGCGCAGCACTGGACTCGCTCTTTAATGTAGGCATACTGTGTCACATGGCTCAGCCCCGCCCCTGGACCCGAGCTTCGGCAGGATCCGCCCCTAATGCTGGATTGTGGGGACAGCGACACACACACACACACCATTATGAGCCCTTCATTATGACTGGAAGCACATTATTATCATTAACCAAGTTTATGAATAGTATATGGGACTTTTATACCTATTTATTCTCTTTAAAACATGGCTCGCTATATAAACAAATAGGCCGACGTTAGGCCCACGTGTCTCTCTTTAACAGGCCACAGGTATTTTAGGTATATACGGACTGTCACTGCTGCACTTGTAACACTGGACTCTATAATGACTTATAGGGAGCTTATAGAATAACTAGCCTGCAACTCCACCTGTTAGAGACTTGTTTGGCTCAGTGAAATGCACTTGCCCCCTCTCTCTTCAGTAAAGCAGTGATTGCGCGCGGCGGCCCGGGCTCGGCTCTGTAAAAGACCAGGCTTTTCACTCACAGTCTGTAAAGCTCGGCGTGAAGCGGCTCTGCTGTTTTCTGAGGCCGGCGCGGAGTGCGGATTACACAGAGTACGGACTAATGAAAGAAAAGGCTTTGCTCTAAAGAGGCGCACAAGGAGTCCACAGGAATCCACTGCGCAGAGCTGTGAACAGTACGCAGCCCAGCCAACAAAGCCTCTTAATTTGATGTATTTGCAGGCCATTTCACCCGACGCAGGCAACGACAACACACACTTTTCACGCATTTGAGCTCTGTTCTGCGTGGTTTGTGCCAATGATCACAGAACGTGCATCAGAAAGTGTATTATAATAAAAAGAACAGGATAGGCCTGATGATCTAGGCCTAAATCCAAATGGCTCCACATATTTTCATTCTTGTAAAAGAGCCATAGGCCTGAATAATACTGCCCAAATCACAATTCATAATGAAATGACCATTGGGAGTACATTTAGAAACCACAACTCAACAAAATACAAACACAAAAAGATTTGCAAATAGCCTACTTTTTGTAACACATTCTTTAAAACAAGCAGCTGTTATGAAGCCTGTCTTTAAAAAAGTGTGACAAATATGAGTCCGAATGAGGGCTGTTATCCAGTCTGCTCCTGAGCTGAAGTGGGATGCTCCTGTAGGAGCCTGTAAGTGGAGGATGACTGGTTTACCTAAGACCTACAGACTTAGTCTATTAGGCCCAGCATGGTGCAGCCCCATGACATTAGTTTTCCTGTTAATAACCCTAAAAAACATCCCTGCTCTGTTTTGTTTCCACCTGTGGCTCTGCATGGAGGGATTAACTGTTGTCCCAGCTCCACTCATATGGTAATGGACCAAAAAAAAAAAAAGCCCCATTCCAGTGGATTCAGACACAACTCCCAGCTCATCCACACAATCAACATTATCCTATTGCAGTGACCAGGCTCCTCATTCAGCTCACACTGCAATTAGGCCTACTCTGATTAGAGCTCGTCGCCCACAGGCAACACTTCGGCAGACAACATTTCTGCTCCAACTGCTGTTTCTGCTTCCAAGTTAGAAGTTATGTCTATTTAACCAAAAAGAAAATGAGCACTGCGTAACATTTCTAGTGGAGGGTCCGCCACCTGCTTGTCTCCATGGAAATGGTATTGCTTTGTCTACAATGTTCCACAGTATATATTAAACCAATCTATCAGAAAGAAGACAAGCAAGATACAGCACTATGCTACATTACAGTTCAGATCTGTGGAGAGTCGCCCCTGTTCACAGAAGAGTTATTCTGTTTTTGAGTAGCAGAAACACCTGTAATGAATAAATGCTATACGGATATGCTCAATGCCAGCAATAACATCTCCATGGAGACACAGAGGTAGCAGACCCAGACCAGAAAAGTTATCTAAATGGACTTCTACTTGAAATTTTATCATTAGAGCAAACTTTGTCTTTGTCTTTTTTTTTTTATTATTTTTTTACATTTACAGTATTGTACATTTTGAATATTTTTTGTGGTTTTGTGGTTCTGCTCTTGGGTTATGGTGTCAGTGGCATAAATTGGTTTCAATATTACCATTTATCATCTATATTTACTTCAAAAATATCTCCCTACTACAGGCCTACTCATGAAGACAAAATGAGTCAACTGTGTACTGTCTGCAGCTAATAATAAAGTATTTTATTGTCAGAGAATCAGGAAGTTAGCATGCTGGTTGTTGTTTGACACCAAATCCGCTATAGTCTCTGAAAGTTGTGAAAAGTGCTGGTTTTCATGTTTTTAAGACAGCAAAATTTAGGTACAGCATCCTTATTCTTTGAAGTGACATAATGACGACAATTGATCCAATGCATAAACACCTTAACATAAACACACATTGTAAATATTAACTGTGGTAACAAATTAAGTGCTCTACTGTGTTTTAAACTCCATAAACCTTCACTAGAATCATTTGGATGATTTCAGCACTGGAATTGCCCATTTCTGTTAAACAAACGGTAAAAGGCAGCTTGAAAACTACTGCTTCATGACATCACAAAGTAGAGCAGAGCATTTTGATCTTAGGAAATGTAGATAGACTAAAAATAAAGGATTACTCAATCCTGTGTGAGTGAAACAAAACACAACTTGGGGTATGTTTTTGAATAGATAACAACTTTCTAACATGGCTTAAAAATCACAATAGGCTCTATTCATGCTTACATCTCAAACCAGGAAGACGTTTGGAAAGATGCGATGAAAACTTCCCAGGCCCAGTTTTCTTCATCTACATGTCATTGTAGTATTCCGTTATGTTCAGCTAATCAACAATTACAACCACACGTCAGTTTCCATCATCTCCGAGCACTCTGGGTACATGTGATTAGAAGAGTGCGCCAAATTCAAGATGATTCCAAACAGCACATACATATGCAGTCTTCATTTTACTGCTGATCAATGGGTTTGATCAGTGTCAGTAACTACGCCAGAAGTTGTCATCGCATCGTTCCAAACGTCTTCCTGGTTTGTGACGTAAACGTGAATAGAGCCTGTAGTCAATGTTGTGTAATATAGGACCTTTAATAATACGAGTATTTGCCCACAGCATCAGTGGGTCAACTGCAGTTACCAAGGTGACACAGACAGGGCTGCAGGCATCTGTGTGCACTTCAGCAGACAGGGTATATGCAGCTCATTATGTGTTCATTAAGTATGTCTTTTATCAGATTGTATGATAAGGGCTTGTTTTGTCTAGTTATGTTTGCACTTCCTGTTGATTAAAGGGGCTGTACCTGATTTGAATGTATTCTTGTCAGGATGAACACTCTTTTACATCATGCGTCTTATAGTAAAAAAAAAAAAAAATACAGTGAGATTGTAATATATAATGTAGTACAGAGCATTTTCTTGAGCATCAAGTAATAAAAAGGTGCGGACAGGGTTCCCTTATTTTTTCCAACGGGCACAGTGTTCACTGAGAATTATGGGAAACAACTGCCTGACACTATCCCAGATATTTGAACCTCTGTCATGGTGCATTTTCAAGCGTCACAAAAACTAAATTAAACTATAAAAGTAGTAAAGAGATGAGAGAAGTTTATGCAAACAGCCACATGAGACTATACCAGACAGTTGTTTCTTCAAACTAAAATATGTTTCTGACTTATGATTCAGAATCAGGAGTAGATCCTTTAATACAACAACAGTCACAAATGCAGAAACCATAACAAGCTCCTACTGCCATGTGTGTATAAGATAGGGTGACCATATTTCCTTTTGTGAAAACCCGGACACCTTGGGGTGGGGTCTCGACATTGAGCTACTCTCACCTCGCAACCTGTGCACATGGCCTCCCACTTGTCCAGACCTGGAGGGAAAGTGGGGAATTTCTTGTACAAGTCATCGTTAAATGCACATTTGCGCTTCGGCATGTTGCAGGCTGTCCGACTGTTTGTGTCTGCTCGCTCCTTCTGAGTGCACAGAGAGATACAAGAGCTGCTCAGTTTAAAGGCCCAATGAAAATGTGGCTGGATTAAAGACATCAACCCACCTTTTCACCACCACTGTGCTTTTACTGTAGTAACAAAATTGATTACTTCACCACCACTGGCATTAACATACAGTAAGTATACAAAAAGCATAATATATCTACTTTAATTCCCCAACAAATGAGCTGTTTAGGCAGATTTGTACGCACTTGTGTGACATGTCGTGGTAGCGGGTCCCAGAAGAGACCCTGCAGTGCTTCTTTAAGGTGTGAGCCCCTGGAGCGAGCCTCTGCTGATGAGCCTGGTGTTATTCAGGGGAAGTCACAGACAGTATCCTGACACCTCCACTCACCACCACCACTTTCATCAAACCTGAGGAGAAAGAGGAGGAGAGGTGATGAGGGAGGGTGCATCCACACTGCCACAGCCCTGTATATAGAGGATTACACCTAAACACTTAAGACACTTGTGAAGAATGCTATTTAACCATTGGCTCTTATAGCTGAGCAATGTGTCTGAAATGTATCTATGGATTATGTATGGTATATATAAGTTTCATTCATTGTAGTTTTTTTGCTCCTGTTTTAAAGCGCCCATATTACGCTATTTTCTGATCTATGTTATAATGTTTCCTCTTCAAAAACATACTTGGAGTTGTGTTTTGTTTTATTCACACATGTTTACACAGAAATCCTGCATATTTAGGCTGTGTTCTTTTCTCAGACATGTTCCACTTGTGATGTCAGGTGGTAATACAGGAA